ATCCGCATCTAGACTGGTGCTTTTTTCCGGCAAAGCTCAGTGCCGAAAAAAAGCGGCAGCCATTTTTATGCTAATGAAGCGGGGGAGATTTAAATCCCTGCTTCATTAGCAATTTACGAAAAAGGGATGCAATCTAGAGGTAGCCATAGGGTGCTAACAGCAGAGGTAAGTGTGGGATTATAGAGGATATATGTGTGTTATTTATTAGGGCTGTTAACTATAAGGTACTTGTATAAATGCATAACCACTTAAAATTTTGGCAGTTACACATTTACATATGGGGAGAGGGGAGCTGGTACTCAGGGGGAGACAGCTTTTAAGCCAGCTGCCCCCAAGCATTGGTTTCTGCCTCATCCTCTCCTTACTGCCTCAGGGGGAGGAGGAAGGGAGACTCCGCAGAAGCCAGTACATGCAAAGAGCCAGGTTAAAAGCTGGCTCCCTGCCTCCCACACTGCCTCTGATACACAAGCAGTGGGGGAGGGGGGGGTGAGGTGCATGTAGTTGATGGGCTTAATGCCAGATTTCAGTTAATCTTGTTATCTGTTACTCATTGACATCCCTAGTATCTAATCCTATAAACTGTTGCAGGTCAGGGCAGGACTGAGGCATGGGCAAGCCGGGCAGCTGCCCGGGGCGCCAACGGATGGGGGGCGCCTGATGGCAGCTGTAAGGGGCCCGCGGCATCTCTTATAGCTGCCATCAGGCGCCGCGCACCCGGCTCCCGCAGCACCAGCCCCCCCATGCCCATGGCACTGGCCAGCAGCGCCCTTCCCCCCACAGCCGCAGGGCCCTTATTCCCACAATCTAAGAACTAGGGGTCACTAAATGAAATTAATAGGCAGCATATTTAAAACAAAGAAAAGGAAGTTTTTCTTCACTCAATGCACACGTGCGCCCCAGGGGCGGGCCCCAGGCTACACGCCAGCAGCCGTGGCCGGCCTACGCATGCACTTGCATCCTGGGGGTGGGCCCGGGCCCACACATGCGCCGTGCGCACAGAAGCGGTGCCACACGCCCGGGCCCAGGGCACCAAAAGGGCTTGGGTCGGCCCTGTTACAGGTAATGCAAAAATTTAGCTTATTGGTGTATAGTGATGGATGTTTTGCAGTAGGAATGTAAGCTGCGCCTGCTGCCCCCCCCCCCACTGCTGTCCCCCCCCCCCCCCCCCCCCACTGCCTTTATCAGAAAGAGGCAGTGGGGGGGAGGATCCAGCTTAAAAGCCGGTTGCCCTCAGCGCCAGTTCCGTGTGAGGAGGCAGGGGCACAACAGTGGTATCCCTGCTGGCCCCAGGCTCCATGCAGCCCTTCTGCTTTGAAAGGCCCAAGAGCCCCTACTGGGGCTCTTGAGCATTTCAAAGACTGAAACACCACATGGAGCCCGGGGCCAGCAGCCCTAGAAAGGGCTTTTGTGCATTTCAAAGATTGAAACATTACGTGAAGCCCGGGGCCAGCAGTGGCCCCCAGGAGGGGCTCTTGTGCATTACAAAGCAGAAGCACACACATGGAGCCCTGGTTCAGTGGGGGACTCCCCGCTGGCCCCAAGCTCCATGTGGTGTTTCAGTCAATTAGTTCAAAATTGCCAGACTCGTAGATGAACATAATTTGTTGGGGGAAGTTAACATGGTTACTGTAAAGGGAAATCATACCTTACTAATGTATTAGAGTTCTTTGAGGGCACCAACAAGCATGTGGAGACGGAGTATCTAAGTACACTTATCCACTGGATTTCCAGAAAGCCTTTGACAAGGTCCCTCACCAAAGACTCTTAAGTGAAGTTAATTGTCATGGGATAAGAGGGAAGGTCCTCTTATGGTTTGATAACTGGTTAAAAGACAGGAAACCAATCATATCAATAAATGGTCCATTTTCAGAATGGAGAGGGACAACTAATGGTGTCCCCTAAGGGTCCATACTGGGACCTATCTTATTTAATCTGTTTATAAAGTGATCTGGAGAAAGGGGTGAACAGTGAGGTGGCAAAAGTCTGCAGATGATACTGAAACGCTCAAGAT